CACCATATGGGGACTTGGCACCATATAGGGACCCAGCACCATATAGGGATCTGGAACCTGTATAGGGACCTGCCACCATATAGCGACCCGGTACTTGTACAGGGACCCGGCATCACAGAAGGACCCGGCACCCGTATAGGGACCTGGCACTTGTATAGGGACCCCGAATCAGAGAGGGAGCCGGCACCGTATAGGGCGTTGGCACCATATAGGGACCTGGCACCGTATAGAGACCTGGCACCGTATAGGGACCTGGCACCATATAGGGACCCGGCACCGTATAGGGACCTGGCACCGTATAGAGACCTGGCACCGTATAGGGACCTGGCACCATATAGGGACCCGGCACCGTATAGGGACCTGGCACCGTATAGAGACCTGGCACCGTATAGGGACCTGGCACCATATAGGGACCCGGCACCGTATAGGGACCTGGCACCGTATAGAGACCTGGCACCGTATAGGGACCTGGCACCATATAGGGACCCGGCACCGTATAGGGACCTGGCACCGTATAGAGACCTGGCACCGTATAGGGACCTGGCACCATATAGGGACCCGGCACCGTATAGGGACCTGGCACCGTATAGAGACCTGGCACCGTATAGGGACCTGGCACCATATAGGGACCCGGCACCGTATAGGGACCTGGCACCGTATAGAGACCTGGCACCGTATAGGGACCTGGCACCATATAGAGACCTGGCACCGTATAGGGACCTGGCACCATATAGGGACCCGGCACCGTATAGGGACCTGGCACCGTATAGAGACCTGGCACCATATGGGGACTTGGCACCATATAGGGACCCAGCACCATATAGGGATCTGGAACCTGTATAGGGACCTGCCACCATATAGCGACCCGGTACTTGTACAGGGACCCGGCATCACAGAAGGACCCGGCACCCGTATAGGGACCTGGCACTTGTATAGGGACCCCGAATCAGAGAGGGAGCCGGCACCGTATAGGGCGTTGGCACCATATAGGGACCTGGCACCGTATAGAGACCCAGCACCACATAGTGACCTGGCACCACATAGGGACCCGGCACCTGTATAGGGACCTGGCACTGCATAAGGATCCGGTACTTGTATAGGGGACCCAGCACCGTATAGAGACACAGCACCTATATAGGGATCTGGCACTACATAGGGACCCTGCACCTGTATAGCAACCCATCACCCATATAGGGACCCAGCACTGCATAGGGACCTGGCACCTGTATAGGGACCTGACACCTGTATAGGGACCTGGCACCTGTATAGCAACCTGGCACCGTATAGGGACCTGGCACGTGTATAAGGAGCTGGCACCCATATAGGCACCTGGCACCTGTATAGGGACCCGGCACCACATAGAGACCTGGCACCCGTATAGGGACCTGGCACCTGTATAGGGACCCAGCATCCATATAGGGACCCAACAGCTGGGTAGGGACCCAGCACCTGCATAGGGACCTGGCACTGCATAGATACTCGGCACCAGTGTAAGGACCTGCACCTATATAGGGACTCAGCACTAACAAAGGGACCTGGTACCCATATAGGGACTCCCTAGAATCCACATAGGGACCCCCTCTGCACTCATATTGGGACCCCATTGAACCCATATGGGGATCTCCTGAACTCTCATATGGAGCCCAGCAGCCATAAAGGCACTCTGCACCCATACATGGACCCCATTGCACCCATATAGGGACCTCCTGCACCCATACAGAGAACCCAGCATCTATATTTATGGATCCAGCACCCATATAGGGACCCTCTGCACCTCTGTAGGGATCCGAGAAGCCATATAAGGACCCCTGAACCCATATACAGGACCCTCCGCAACAATATATGTACCCCAGCACCTGAATAGGACCCTGTACCCATAGAGGGACCCCTACCCATATAGGACCCCCCTGCACCTACATAGGGACTCTCTGCACCCAAATAGGGGCCCCTGAACTGGGACCCAGGCATCCATACTGCAACTGGCATCCAGATGGGGATCTCCGGCTGCGGCCCTAGACTCATATAGAGACCCTCCACCCATATAGGGAACCACTGCCTCCATATAGCAGTCTCTGCATCCATACAAAGACCTGGAACCCGCGTGGAGCCCCCCAGGCTGGGACTTCACCCCCCACAAAGGGACCCTGACACCCATGTGAAGACCCAGAATGGGGACCTTGGAGTGGGATCCCGGCACCCACATAGGGACCGCTTCACCCATGTAGGGCTCCTCTTCATCTGTATAGGACCCCTGCTCCCACATGGGGACCCAGGCATCCCTATACGGACCCCTGCACCTCTGTAGAAAACCTCTATATCCATCTAGAGACTCTCTGCACCCAAACACGGACCCCCTGTACCCTTACAGGGTGCCCTGCACCCATAGAGGGACCTCGCGCTGGGGAGGTCCTGCCCCAATGTAGGGGCTCTTCTGCCCCCTCATGGAGACTCTCTGCATCCATATAGGGACCTGGGCTGAGGCCTCACATCCATACAGGGATCCCAGGGCTGGGACCCCAGCATCCTTATAGGAACCCCCCGCCCCCATATAGGCACCCCCCCATAGGGCCCTTGGGCTGGGACCTCCCAGCACCCCACGTTTCTGCCCCGCTGGGACGCCCTGCTGGCCCTCGCCCTGGCCGGATCCTGCCCTGAAGCTCCCGGATGCTGCTGAGCCAGAGAGGCCCCGGCATCCAGAGAGGCCCCGGCAGGGTGAGACCCTGCGGAGGGCAACGGGGGCCCCGAGCCCGGGTGCCCCATGGGTCTGTGTCCCTGGGGACGTGGGACGGGATAGTGTCCCCAGAGGGGTGTGGGATGGGATGGTGTCCCTGGGGGAATGTGGGATGGGACAATGTCCATGGGGGGATGTAGGACAGGACAGTGTTCCTGGGGGGACGTGGGATGGGACAATGTTCCTGGGGAGACATGGGCTGGGACAGTGTCCCTAGAGGGACGTGGGACAGGACAGCGTGCCTGGGGACGTGGGACGGGTCCGTGTCCGTGGGGATGCGGGATGGGATGGTGTCCCTGGGGGACGTGGGTCAGGACAGCGTGCCCAGGGACGTGCGATGGGACATTATACCCTGGCTGCCCCAACGCT